AGCGCTTGACTGACAAACGCAATGATCTGAGTTCAATCCCTGGTTCCACCAAAAAAAAAAAAAAAGTGCTTTCAGACGAGATGCATATTTTGATCTCCACCAAAATCTTGGGTGGGTAGTTTTAGCTCATTCGAGTTGTCCCACAGTATATGCAGGGCATTTGTTCCAAGAACCCTGAAGATACCAAAATCTACATAGGTGCCAAATCCCTATATAAACTAGTGTAGTATTTGTTTAGAACCTGCAGACATCCTCCTAAAGATGTTAAATCATCCTGGGAAGATTTATAATGCCTAATACAGTGTAAGTACTATTTAAATAGTTGTTATGCTATGCTGTTTAGGGAGTGACAGGAAAACAAGTCTATCCATATTTAGTACACACATAATTTAATATTTTAAAAAATATTTTGGATCCAGGGTTGGCTCTGTTGATAAATGTGAAACTAGAGGATATGGAACCAGTGGATGTGGAATGCTGACTATACTTACATTAATTTACTCTAAGTATAATCCTTATGATACAGAAGCATAATAGATAAATCTAATCACAGAAATTTCTAAAGGTCAAACAATCCAGGTCAGAAGAACGTATTAGTTTCAAGTGAAAAATCTACCTACCCTATTATCGTATGATCCAGGGCACAGACCCTAATCTGGTATCATAGGAGGAGAATCAACCATGTACAAAATAGTATCAATTGCTGCACCAATTTCTTCTACACCAGAAATGCAAACTGTTCAGTCTAGTTCTGTTAAAGGAAGTTAATTTTAATATCAATGTTTGAAATAACAAAAAGCTAACTTTACTCAAGGCTCAAAACCACATACACTAATAACAACAACAATAATGTATTACTAGCCCAATGCTGCATTTGTAACTGTACATGATTTACTTGAACTTTCCTGAAAGAACTCTAATGTTGACATTTACTAGGCCCTAACATGTTTTTCTGAAATATGCTCAACTGTTTTAACTTTTAAGTTCCTTGGAAATGAACTTGATTTATGAGATGAGACAAAGTCATTAAGTCAACTGGCAAATAGATGAAACTAAATAGACTTCTTTTGGTTACCTAAGAGAAAAAAGGTAGGGCTGGGGAGATAGCTCAGTGGCTTAAACGCCTGCCTGGCAAGCACAAGGTCCTAAGGCTGATCACCAGTACAAAAAGAGTGATTGACTTGAAGGTAATGTGGTTAGTTTTCTTAAAATAACCAGAAAAGTATATAAAGCAGGGAACCTTTGAGCAGAGCAATTACATTATCTTTGTGCTAATTGTACAATCCCCCAGTTTCTTTTTCAAAATCATGTTCTCTATCACTTGTTTAGTTTCTCTAAATTCTCAACAATAACTGAATAAGGAACCATACTGGCTTCTCATACCGACTATTTAATTCATACATCAACACTACTATTTTCACCATTTCAAAGATGAATAAACCAAGGCTGAATATTTTAAATTGTTCAACTTATACAGGTAATACTAGGCAGACAGAAATTATTACCTTATAAAATTTATGTACCAAAGATATATGTTCTATGGTACATATGTATTTGGTACATAAATTTTATAAGGTAATAATTTAGGTTTTTCATTTAAACTTTCTAATTTTTTGACCTATTTAGGTTTTTGATTTAAACTTTCTAATTTTCTTTAGCCTGATCCTCTAATCGGAGTTAATTGTATATATTTCACCTTTGGCCACAATGTGACATAATCATTCACTTATCAGTATTTCTACTGAATTATGAGTTTATGGAGAAAATGGGCCATACCACTTCTTTCTGTAGCCCAGAACACAGGCCCAGAATTAGCACATCTTCTTAGTAGTCTAACTGTGGCATTTGGGTCATTTTTTTAATGAGGATGTTGATTCATATACCATTACTAGACAACTAGCTATTCCCCTGTTTCAAGACACCCAACAAACAGCAGCACAGTTAGGGAGGGCCTGGGCAGGAGCAGTACTCAATTTGATCAACCCCTGTGCTTTAGTCCGCTGAGCTATCAGGCTATAAGGTTCTTCTGACTTTTTTAACACCACTGTGTGTACTGTATAAGAATTTTTTTTTTTTTCTGTGAGTCTACAGGGTCTCACTAGGTAGATTGGACTTGTGGTAATTCTCCTTTTTTCAGCCTCCCAAGTGCTGGGATTACAGGGGTGCGCCACCATGTCGTCTCAATCGCAGTCTCAGGCTGACGTGGGGGCCAGGCTGGCACAGCATACTGGGGATTGAACCCCAGCCGCTGCACTCTGTCTAAGCAGGTGCTTTAGTCCGCTGAGCTATCAGGCCAACCTTTTGTATGGGGAATTTTTCCTTGTTACATTTCAGAACTGCACTCTCATCAGTTGACTTCCAACAGCTAATTCACACTATAAAAAACTATATTACAGCACAGCATGATATTCACATGCAAGAATATAAGCCAATACAAAGAAAAAAAATATGAGAAAATGTGAATAAACAGTGTAAGATAATGTCTTGCCACAAGCTATCTTTTAATTATAATACTAGAGGTCCAAGGGGCAAGACCGTACCACTGATGCTTTCCCACACAAGAAACTGCGTCAGTGGTTAAAAGCATTTTGTGAATGTTACAGTATAATTATGACAACAGTGAATATTTAAGGAGACAGCAAATCCCTCAAAATAAAAGGAGTATTTATAAATCTGTCTTTTTCAACACTGACGGTCTTAGAACTTAGGAGAAATGCAAAAATACACATGATGTCATAGTAACACTAATTAATGTAGTTACTAATACATTTATTCTTTTAGGGGACCTTTTATAAATACTAAAGCTTCAGGCTTTTTCTGTGTCAAGAAATTATCTCTTGTCCTTTGTAGCAGTACTTACCTTCCTCTTCCTGGCCTCCCCTAACCTGTAGCCCACACTTGACTTGTCTGTTCTGTAATCTTTCAGATAAGCAGTGAAAAATGTGTGTAACTCTTGAGTAAGAAGTTAAAATGACAGTACTATGTAATTCTCCTGACTCTTTAGTATTAGTCTTTTAGCATATAAACCTAATTCTTAGAAACATAAACACAGGAAGTTCAATGTTCTAAGAAAAGCTAATAATAATTGATTCATACTGGCTACTCAGGAAACGCACAGCAAAGATCTGTGTTCTATAATAAAGTCCAACAATAAATCCACCTAGTAATGCCTACCACACAGGGACTGGGAAAACAAAACACCCAGGAAGTAGATGAGTAATGACTAAAAAGTACAGGAAAAAATCAACATCAATTTAGGGCTGAGAATGAAGAGCTGTAGGGCATGAGGCAGATCTGTGCACTAAACAGACAGAAGCAGTTCAAAGACAAGGCGCTAGAGGAGAAGGGGCCATCAACAAAGGGATGAGTCAGGAGTGCAAGCAGACAAGAATCCTAGCAGGCAGGAGCAACAATAGTGGCTACACTAAGAGGTACCAAAATATTCTGGAGGTGGCAGACAGGAGGGAGGCATACACATGCCAAGAGAGGGAAAGAGAATAAAAAGCATTCCGAGCAGGGGACAGTCAAGAGCAAGGCAGAGAGTTGGTGAAATAGAATCAAGCAAGGAACCCTGGAGAGACAGGAAAAACCACACAAGTGAGGCTAAATGCGAAGCAGGAACAGTAGAAGGCAAAAGGAGGGAAGAGAGGAAAAGCTGGCCTAGAGGTGAAAACAGTAAAACTTAACCAGATGTTTTATGGAACTTTGTTTCATTAAATTAAAATCTCTTTTCTTATATTTCTCCTTGTTGAGTAAAAAACTTGATTCCTAAGAGCAAAACTTTCTATATTTTACAGAAAATGACTGATCAGTTCTGCTCACCATTAATGATGTCAAGATCCTAACAAGAAAGACTGAACATGAAACAATTATCATACTATCTATTCTTTCTGTCTATTTTTCTTTGGTGTTGCTAGAGATTGAACCCAGGGCTTCACCAATGTTAGGCAAGTGCTTACCACTGAGTTACATTCCCAGCCCAGGTCAAGCACTCTTAACTCTAACCAACATAGAAATTTCTTACTGAAAGTGTGTATATGCACATGAATGACCTTAATGACACTTTCATGTGTTAATATAAAGGTTGTCCCCCTTCTTTTTGTGCTTAACAGCATTTAGAGAAATCCTTTCAAGGTGACATCAATATTGCTAAAAAAAAAAAAAAAAAAAGTCTGATATAAGCTTTCACAGAGTTAAAAGGTTTTATAAATTTTCCATTAAAATTCCGTCCCTCATGTTATCCTGGTCTCCCAGGAAACTGGGAATAGAACACGTAGACTACCCTGATTTCCATCTAGAAAATGTGAACAACAACAAACACTGGCAATAACAAAAAGCTAGTAAAGATGAGCAATGTGGAAAAGAATGGAAACTATTCTATTCTTGATTCTGGAAAATAACCCAGGGGAGAATAGCAAGTGTACCAGAAGTCTATTTATGAAAATGAAATTCTTATTTTAAACTGAAAATATATAACAGTCAGGGCTTCAGTGCCAAAAATTTGTTCAACAAAAAAGTAGGCATCTACAGAGGCTGGGCGTAGGTAAAGGAAGATGAAACTAAAGTTGTGATGAATATGAACAAGAAACATCACATCACTATAAAGAAATAACTCATCGACACACCACACCCTTTCATGATTACTCAGTAAGAGTCCATTTCTGTGGACCAATATCTCAGTGTGTGATTATATTGCTCTTCCTAGTGAGGTGACTTTTCCATCCATCCATAATAAAACTTTGATCATAAGTAGATTGGACTACCGCAGTAGTGGTAAATAAATATAAACAAAGTGGATGGGTTAACAAAGATAATGTAAGAAATACATAGTGAAATGTGCTAGGATCTTATCACTCATATTATCATTAACTATCTTCTTTCAGCTGCTCAAATATCTTAAATGACATTGGAGTTGCTTCTTGAAATGCACCTTCTCTTCAGTTTTTTAACATTCTTCCACAAATATCTTAATGAGTCCTCAGGCCATCCAGTCCACTCACAGGTATTATTTACTTCTGCAAATGGTTGTCGTTTGGGGAGACTTCTTGAAGGAATAAACCTGGTCTGCTGGTCTCTACTGAGGACAGGCTGAAACTAGGATTATCTCTCACATTCAAAGATGACATGGAAGCCAACTGTGCTGTTTCCAAGGTAAGAGGCCTTAAAAAAAGAAAAGTTACAAATCAACCAGACTTTAAAAATGATTATAATCATGCAGTGCAAATTTTCACACAATATTGTATTTCAACTAAGGTTAAAAAATAATTCCACTAGGAAATTTTAATGTTTCACTTCAGCATTAAAAAATACAGTATTTTCAAAAAAAAAAAAATTAAGAGTACCATAGAATAGGCAATAAGTGTTGCAATAATCAATTCCTGAAATTAACAAAAACCATCAGTTATAATTGAGGAAATTCTTTTTTATTTTAAAGAAAAAAATTCAAAACAATAGGAAGATAACAATATATTAAAGGCAATAGGATAGTAATAATAATACATTGCATACTGTTATCTTTAAATTATCCAAAGTACAAGATATAGGCATTTAATTGTCCAAACAATATTAATACAAACCTTTCTTTTCAAAGAACTAAGAGAAAAAATTAGCAGTCCCTTCCTTTTCTCCTTTCCCCTATCCTAATTTCTCTTTCCTTTTGGACAGTTTCTTCTCATTTTATACATACTGTACATTTTGGATCTTACTCTTTCAGCTTCTCACACTAGGGAGACAATACATTTGCACATGTGCCTCTGGTTTATTTTTCTTATGAATATGGTCTTGAGATGCATCCATTTACCTACAAAAGTCTCAACTCTATCCTTACAGTTGAGTAGTAGTACTTCATTGTACAAAAAGGCCACATCTTTTTTTAACCATTTCTCAGTTTATGGGTATCTGGGTTGTTTCTAAGATCTAGCAATTGCAAATTGTGTTGCTATAAACATATATACATATATACAGTTTTGTTACAAGGTTTTTAATTCTTTTTGGAAGATTCCCAGAAGGGGAATAGATGGGTTAAATGGGACCTCCAATCCTTAAAACAAAAATCTCTTGTGACTGACTTTTCATCTCTTACCATGGCCAGGGCAGGAGACATAACACCATTTCACTGTGTTATCTTCCTTGCAAACGGTATGAATAGGGATATTTTATGTTCAGCTACACATGGAGCTACCGGAATGATGATCTAGAAAACTTCAAGCCACAAAATTCTGGAATTTTATATTATCTGGTGATATAATCAGTTCTACTAAACCAACTCTTTTTTCTTCTTCTTCTTCTTCTTTTTTTTTTTTTTTTGGCAGAACCAGAGATTGAATTCAGACCCTTGTGCTTGCCAGGGAAGTGCTTATTCTACTAAGCCATCTCCCCAGCCCACCAAACCAACTCTTGCTAAGTCCTTTTGCTTCACCCTGATTTTCTTATCTCTAAAATACATGGCTGGTTACTTTTACAGGGAGAAGAGACACTCAGAATACATATGTCTCAGTGCTGTGGCAGCCCTACAGAATCTGCATGTCTGGGCTAAGCGAAGATACCTGTTATTTTTATAATAAAACCTAGGTAGTTCCAAGGTACACTACTGGTTACCAAACTAGGTCATGTTCAAGATCTAGTTCCACACGCCTATAATTCGTAAATGGAGTAGCAAAGACTTCACATGAAATTATCCTAGCCTCACATGAATGAATCGGTGTAACTCATTTTCTTCTGCTAACTACCCTCCCAACTCAGGAATGGCCTGTAGTTACATCTAGCATGCCAACTAGATAAATGCTTCAACGTAGATCATTTCAACTCAAATTTTCCAAGTTAGTTCCATAGACATTTAAGTAGAACAGACTGTGGGGCGATATTTGTAAGTTGCTTCCATGTAGGCCATCTCAAAATAGAAGATGTTAAAATGACAGCAACACATGCCACTTCTTCACTGATTGAAATTCTGAAGCAACCTGGAGACGATGACATAACAGCCTTGCCAGTGGAAAGGGTCAGTAACACAGAATACTGTACCTGCAAAGTTTGGGTCCCCCTGGCTGCTAACCAGGTCTGGGGCCTGTGTTTCGCTCGAGGCCATATGGGCAAGGCAATATGGTGACTGGTATATTCCCTTTGAAGTCTTCAATGTTCAGTGGTTGTTGATGCCCCATACCTCCAAAGTAACAGCAAGCTCACAACAAAATGGGTATGTAACTGAGCTTCTGGGGGGCAACATTTTTATTCCTCTTGCTGCATACTGATTGTAGGCCCTTGTCTAATTACACATGGCTTTATTCTAGTGAAAGTGACTATATTTCAGCTCTGTCACCAAAGCAAGGAACAATTTTACATTTTTCTCCCACCAACAAATATTACTTGGCCAGAAGAGATCTTCGGACCCTAACTACACTCATTGCTCAAAACAAACTGAAAAAGTGGATCAGAATTCCATACAGGATGAAGTAAATGGACAGAAATGTGTAAGAAGCAACCAGAAACACCTACATCATGAGAAATATTGCCATTAGGATTTTAAATCTGATAAAAGTTTTAAAAACAGAACGCAGTAAGGTATCAAATGCCACTCAATAATATTTAATTTGGCATAAGATAGGTTTTTTTGTTTGCTTGTTTATTTTGCAGTACTGGGGTTTGAACCTTTGTGCTGAGTTGTATTCCCAGCCACTTTAAAATTTTTCTATCTTGAGAGAAGGTATCCCTAAGTCACTAATTTGGCCAGTCTGGGCATGAACTTGTGATCCTCCTGCCTCAGCATTTCAAAGTGTGGGCATTACAGCTATGCCTGACCACTTCTGCTATTTGGTATTAGTTTTGACACTAAATCAGTAACAAAAGTCATTGTTCTGCACGCTGATAAATCATTATCTAAACTCCAATAGCTACACAGAGTTAAAAATCCCTTGAAATTCAATTCAGCGGTTCTCTCCTCATCTCCAATCACTTCAATGCACAGCACTGCATCCCTTTGACCATTTTCTTATCAACTTCTATTTGGAAAATCCACCAATTTCTCAGTCCAGAGCCACTGCAATTTTATGTTACTTTGAAATTCTAAAAACTACAATCTTTTATAGCTACAAACATAGTGTAAATGTTGAGATCACTCTTTGGAGTAGTAGCAAATGTTGCAATCTTCTCTTTTCCAGAGAAATTACACAGATGGGAGCCAGGACACCTCTTTGTCATGATCTTGGGGACGTGACTCCACTGCCTCACCTGACAAACAGAAAAACTGTATCTACTTCAAAGGACTGTCATGGGATTTAAGTAAACATGTCAAGGGGCCTGGGACATTTGGCACACTTAAATGTGTGCCATTATTTTGTTTTATTTACCTCCAAATTCTCATTTGGTTTCATAGGTGGCACAAAGTTTGCCTACCTAATTTGTTACAAATGGTTCTAATTATCTTCCATGTTTTCACGTTGGGCAATTGATACATTTAAACTTGCTTTGTATACCAAGGCAGTTCTTAAAAATAGTATTATATAAATACATATTAGCTGGCCTCGAGGAACTCATAGATGGAGTGGGGAAACACTGCACAAACAGCTTATGCATGAGGGTGTAATATAAACAGTTAATGTTCAAAGAGCTCACTGTGGGTTGCAGTTTGTGTCCTACACTTAAAGGTACGTGGGATTTTTGTAAATGGAAATGGGCAAGTATTCCAATGTACTATTCATTCCACAAATACATTATATACTGAGCACATCTCACAGGCCAGGCTCCGTTGTAGGTGTGTGTATGGAGCCTACAAGAGATACAAAAGGTTCCTGCACTCTGTGAGCATAAAGGGCACTCCATATTAGAGTCAAGTTTTTTTTTTCATTTTGTTTATTTTGTTTGTGGTACTTGGGATGAATCCAGGGCCTGGAGCAAGCTAGGTAGAATACAACTTTACCACTGGGCTGTATTCTCAGCCTGAAAGGCAAGTTTTGAAGTAAAGAATGAGAAGGGCTAGTCTTTCTATCATAGGAAACAGTGAAACAAAGCCTTACAGATAGGACCCAGTGCTGTTACTGCAGTTACCATGGATTCCCAACAGTCACAAACATACAGAAATTCAATGATAATTCAATAATTAAGTTCTTATAAAGCACAATAAGGGGAAACTCTACATATTTCTTGACACAAACAAGAGATTTATAAGAATAAACAATATTATTGGGATTATTTTTGTTAACTAAAACTTTACTGAAATGAATGTCTAATGATGCAGTGTTTGTATATTCTTGTGCTTTGGGGTACTCTTTACCCCCATTCTTTTTTTATTTCATCTATCAGTGACTGCCCACAAAAATCACAACAGAGAAAATGCCTAAAGATGCATGTGGTAGCAAGAATCTACACCAAAGAGAAGTACTCACTTCAAAAGAAAACACAAACATCTTTTTCTGCTTAGATGCTCCCAGTGATGCCAACTCTCCACTCACCCTTCTGCAAGAACAGTACCTTCAGGTAAGGAAAGCCTATTGTAAATACTGACGGCAAAGCTTTCTCAGCCTCTCCTTCCTCCCAAGGACGGACACTGGAATCTTCTGACTGGGTAAAACCCAGCATTTAAATCATGACACACCTCTCCCAGAACCCTAGCCGGCCTCTCCCAACCTTTTCACTCCCAAGGCGCAAACTGTTACATCCCACCAGCATTCTCAGAATCTTGCAGTTGTTAGGCCTGTGTAAATAGTCAAACTTCTTCAATGCACAAAGTGCTCATGTCAACAATGAATTGTATCTAAGGCATATTAAGTCAAACTGAAAAAGTATCCACCTATACCGCAGATAATCTAGCATTCCTAACATATGATGCCCAATAACATCTTGCAAGACTGCAACAAATAGCAAGCTCACTATTTTTTCATCTCCTTTGGTATTGGAAAACTTGTCTTTGTGCTTCATTATGCCCTTTGTTTAGTTACTTAGAATTTAAATATGCAAAAAGGGGCTATTTAAGAAGAGGACATTATGGTCTTCCCAAAATTTACTTTTCCTACATCCTGTCATAGCCTGTTTACTAGGTGACAGTGTTACATAATAGGAATGTGGATAAGAGATACAGGGCGTTGGAAATTACTGAATACCCAAATAGTTTCAAACCCATCTTCCAACTTGAAAAACACACTAATTTACTCCAAATATCATTACTTAGTGCCAGTACTTATTTTACAAAATTGGTAACAAGGACATAAGTATACATTTGGACATATTCAAATCAAACTCACATATTTAAATACTTTAAGCAACCTATGATTATGCAGCATTATCCTCGAAGATTAAATACACTAAAGCATTCAAGACCACTTGGGAAATGCCTGGTAAAAAAATTATTACTACTCAACATTGGCTATTACTAGTTTTCCTAATGTCCAAATTTCAAAATAAAAAGTTCCAAAATCAAGTCTGTGATTACGTATGCACAAAAACACCTAATATATAAACACTACGAATAAAGCTGGTATTGTTACTGTACCAAGTGAGGGTCTTAACCTAGTGAAAGAGATTAAACTGTACCAGATGATCCTTAAAAGGCCAGAAAACTTGCTTCGGGCAATGCTACCTCCTTCCTCTGTTCGTCAATCAGGAATACAATCTCTAATGGTTTTGTATGAATTATACTTAGAAGCCAACGGACACCAGAGAGCTTGCTCAATTCGAATAGTTCAGTCAAGCAGGTGGATGAGTGGTCCCTGACTTCAAGGCTGCACCAACCCTTGAAAATCTGATCGCTTCAATACTGTTCTGAAATAAATCCTACAGAAAGCCACGACCTGTCTTGTGCGGGAAAACACGTTTTTCAAGTCACTGAACACATCTTCCTCACATATCCCAAAGTCATTTCAACTAACAACGCCACGGCATCTTGGCCCCATCCGTCTTCAAAACACTCCACGGTCTCGGCCACGCGCCGTCCGCCGCGCTCGGCGTCCGGGGACGAGCGGGGCTCAGCCTTCCTCCTGCCGCCCGGCCCTCCGCGCCCGGCCCCGCGCCCCGG